GATATGCAGATGATACCACTCTGATGGCAGAAAGTGAGGAGGAATTAAAGAACCTTGTAATGAGGGTGAAAGAGGAGAGTGCAAAAAACTGTCTGAGATCAACTTCAAAACGACTAAGATCATGGCCACTAGTCCCATCACATCCTGGGAAATAGAAGGAGAAGATATGGAGGCAGTGACAGATTTTACTTTCTTGGGCTCCATGATCACTGCAGATGGAGACAGCGGCCACGAAATTAAAAGACGCCTGCTTCTTGGGAGGAAAGCGATGACAAACCTTGACAGCATCCTAAAAAGCAAAGACATCACCTTGCCAACAAAAGTCCGCATAGTCAAAGCTATGGCTTTCCCTGTAGTGATGTATGGAAGTGAGAGCTGGACCATAAAGAAAGCTGACCGCTGAAGAATGGATGCTTTTGAATTGTGGTGCTGGAGGAGCCTCTTGAGAATCCCCTGGACTGCAAGGAGAACAAGGAAATCAACCCTGAGTGCTCCCTGGAAGGACAGATCCTGAAGCTGAGGCTCCAGTACTTTGGCCATCTCATGAGAAAAGAAGACTCCTTGGAAAACACCTTGATGTTAGGAAAGTGTGAAGGGAAGAGGAGAAGGGGACGACAGAGGATGAGATGGCTGGACAGTGTCATCGAAGCTACCAGAATGAATTTGACACAACTCCGGGAGGCAGTGGAAGATAGGAGGGCCTGGTGTGCTCTGGTCCATGGGGTCACGAAGAGTCGGAAATGACTAAACAACAAAACAAGCCACCGGTACTGTTTTTCTTCTAGTTCTCATAAATCATCTGGAGACATAGTCTACTCTCCAAAGTCTAGGCTTCATCTTCTTCCTCCGGATCCAAAACATGCTTAAGGGCATTTTTCCTCAGTCCTGCAAAGAAAGGTTGATAGCATCTTCCGACTGTTTCAATGCTCCAGCGTATCAGCCGGATGGAACGCCCTTGGTGAATTGCAAACTGAAAACACCCGATAAGGGATGAGGGATGGACCGTGGGGAAATGGTCAACAAAGCATCAGTGGCTGAGGTGTTGTAGCCACAGAGAGGCAGCCAGGACAGAGTAAATGAAAATTTCTCTGTCTCTTTATTTGTAAAAATAAACCTTGACTTTTTTGACCCTCCCACCTGCCAGCGAGATAGAGAAGACTCAAGAAACCTTTGTTGTTACCTTGTCACGACCCCGTTTTCGGCCAGGATAAATGAGACGCCAGGGTTTGCCGCTCGGATGAGGTTCTGAAGCTGAATGAGAAGTGGGTTCCTCTGTTCAGAGGTATGGCTTGTGAAGGCCACGTTGCTCACTAAACCTGCAGAAGGAAATCGGCCAACCGTGTAAAGGAAAACATTGGCATGCAGCTGGCCCTCTCTTTGGAAGCTCTGATCTAGGGGAGAGACGGGTGATCTGCAAGCATCTTCTGGCATTTGTTCCCTTCCCTGTGGGCCTCTGGATTAGGCCAGGAGGCAAAGCCGTACAAACAACAACTTGCTCAACTCATTTCCATCTGGCCAAATCACCTGTACAGCAGTTGGGGCACAACTCCAGTCGTCTGCCTCTCCCTTGGCCAACCACCATCCCATTTTCAACTGGCTGTCAACAGTACAGACCTTCCTCCCCTTGTAGGACACTATTAAATCACCCTCTGCTTTGCTGCCCAGTTGCTGCCTTTTCAGAGAATTATTCTCTTTTTTTTCTGTCTGGTTATGGTGTGGTCCCCCCCCCAAAAAAAATCTGGTTGGGGATCTAGTTTGGGAGCCATGAGTGGATTTCCAATCTGTCTGTCCTGTACAAGCTCGATGACATCTTGAGGTAATAGATGTGACTATCGGGGGTATTAGGAAGTTTGAGGCACCAAGGAGATTTTTTTTTAAAAAAAGGAATATCTTATCGTTTTGCAACTCCTGTAACTTCAAGGGTTAAAGGCTCCCCTCTTAGCTTCCACAATAAATTTTTTTAAGGACATCATTTACCTTGTGAACACTGGTCCAGGAACTTGGGAAAAAGGAACCTGCAAAATGCAAGGCACAAACACACAAATCTTAGTGTTAAGGATGTCAGAAAATCAGGCAGATGTTGCCTGCTGGAATTCCAAGCTTACAGGCATAAATTAAGCCCAAGATTATCCACCTTGGTGGTTCCCACCCTTGGGTCACCCAGGTGTTCTTGGACTAAAACACCTAGAAGCCTTCACCACCAGCTGTGCTGGCCAGGATGTCTGGAAGTTGTAGTCCAAGAACATCTGGAAACCCAAGGTTGGGAACCCCCCGTCTATCTCTACTGATGTGAACATTCCAAGGCGTCTAACCATGTTACTTACTCTTGAGCTGCCAGGGATCAACACTGGGCCCTTCCTTATGCAAAACAGGTGTCCTGCCTAACCTACGCATCTCGCGTTGTCCATTCTAGGGTTGTCGATCTGCAGATCAGTTCTAAGCAACACATTCCCCCTCCTCTCCATGAATGCCAAAAAACTGCCCAAGTATCAAACATTATGGTCTCTGGCTGCCTCCAGTGGCCACCTCTGGTAAAATACACCCTAGAACTACATATAAACATATACTTCTGTTTTTGTATTTTCAGGTGGCGGATAAGTGAATCAGTGGATAGTGATTCCGCGGATGGGGGGGGTTCCTACTGTACAGACACAGTCTCTTTCCCTCGCTCCAAAAGTGGGTGAAATCTGAACCAAAGCTTAAAGCTCAGGACACGTTCTGTAACCAAGTGGTTATACTCCCAATTATAATGTAAATTATCTGGAAGAGCTATTAGAGGGCAGGCAAGTCCTTTTCTATGACGGCCGTGTCAAGCAGTGGTTTTCTTGAAACACAACAGCAACATAGCTCAGAAGAGCCTCCTTCCTGCCTGAGAAGTCCACTGTTCTTAGGCAACGCACACGATCCTGTAACCTCCTCTTCTAAACAAGTCTGACCCAGAAAACAATGCAGGCCCAGCTGTGCGTTGATGCAAAAAGACATTAATTTTGATGAGGTCTAAACAAGAGCTGTTTCTCTGCTGGACCGTGCCCAGAGGCCACTCCAGTCTTCGCTCTCTTCTGGCTCCTGGCCTTTAAGCAACCGTCTCTGCTCTGTTGATCATTTTGTTTCCCGTCCTGCTGAATTATCAGAAACAAGCTGGCACTCCAGCAAGGCACAAGCGCTCAGCACCCGCTGAGTTGCTGAACATCTTTTCAAAGACCTCTGGCTGGGACCGGCTTCATTCACAAGGCAGCGTTATGCGCCCCATGTCCTTCCATTCCCCACTTCTTTCCCTACTTCACACATTACTTCCGCTTTGATGTGTTGTAAACAGGTGGTGGCCTGACTATGCAAAAGCCTCTGACTGTGTGGACCACAGCAAGCTATGGCAAGTCCTTAAAGAAACGGGAGTGCTTGACCACCTTATCCATCTCCTGAGAAATCAATACGCGGAACAGGAAGCAACAGTTAGAACTGGATATGGAACAACTGATTGGTTCAAAATTGGGAAAGGAGTACGACAAGACTGTATATTGTCCCCCTGCTTATTCAACTTATATGCAGAATACATCAGGCGAAAGGCTGAACTGGAGGAATCCCAAGCCGGAATTAAGATTGCCAGGAGAAATATCAACAACCTTAGATATGCAGATGATACCACTCTGATGGCAGAAAGTGAG